AGTCATGTAACCCTACATTTATCACTTGAAATGAGCATCAACTTTTATTTCTTTATTAATGTTTTCTTCATGCACTGAGCAATAAAATACTAGTATGTTATAATTCAATTTTATATTTTGATTTCTTTTTCCTAGTGTTTTAATCAATGCTATGAGATACATATTGAGAATATGTATTAAACTATTTAAACTAGCATATATAGAAAGTATTAAAGGGTTCTTACCATTAAACTGTACTACAAAACTAGTATAACCTTAATATATGTATTTGTTTGTCAATTTTAGGGCAAAAGGCCCAAACCGTGAAGAGCAAATGAGTTGTCATGATGGAGAGCTTTAAAAACAAACCAACGTTGGCCCAAAAATGATGTTTGCCTAATATTGAAAGAATAAGTGGCCCAACAATGGCTCAATAATATCCGTTCGTTGGTCCAGCAATAAGCCAACAAGTTGGTCTGATTGGGCCGCTGAGCAAATTACCGTTGGCCCAACATTAATTGCTTACAATGGCCCAAATGTACAAAAATGACGTTTGCCCCAACATTAAAAAATACATTGGCCCGACAATGCCAATATTAACTGTTACATTGGCCCAACAATAAGCCAACAAGTTGGTTTGATTAACCATAGCAAATTACCTTGGCCCAACATTAACTGTTTACAATGGCCCAATTTAAAAAATGACGTTTGCCCAATATTGAAATAATACTTTGGGCCCCAACAGTGGCCCAATTTTAAACTTTTACATTGGCCCAACAATAAGCCAACACGTGGTTTTGATTAAGGGCCGATGAGCAAATTACCGCTGGCCCAATGTTGAATACAAACGGTGGCCCAACATAAGGAGCATTGTTGGCCCAACAAAGGTCCAATAACAATCTGCTATCTGGGAATGAGCCAGCTTTCAATATCCGTTTTGGGGTTTCCAAGTATGCAAGATCAGCGAAACATTTTAGCGCAATTTGACGTTTTTTTAACGTTTCTTTTTGTTTTCAATTGTGACGGCAGTCAATTGTACTGTGACGTGTCTTAGTTGACGCTGCGTTAAAACGTATACAGATCAAGTAGATTGGGCCTCTTTAAATATTATAAGGAATGACTCAAATTTTTTGGGCCCAAAATAATCGAGCATAACCTGGTTAGGGTCAGTTTACGCTTTTTATAATCCACTTCGAGTATTCCGTCAATGGTTTTTTAAATTAATGTTTTTGTAAGCAATGGTTTTTCCAGGCTTTGCAAACTCAAAAATGATGATTTTTACTTTATTGTAACGGGGAAAAATATCTTTATTTTAGCATTTGTCATCCAGAAATCTAATTATTTCACTCACCTGATAGTACACTAATTTTCCATAAAATTTGCAATTACGTACCCAGTCCTGTTGGTTCTAAAATTGTTATTTCAAATGTAAATGAAATATCTCAAGAATTAAAAAACTGAACAATTTCAAAAAAGGGAATAAGTTCCTTTTCCAACATTCAATATAGTTTCACCAAAAAAAATTGTATCAGAATTTTTGATACCAACAATCATTCTGAGATACTTGAGACCATGGTAATTTAAGTCACATTTTCAGCGAAAACATTAAAGGGAAAAAGAAAAGCAATATTTTCGTGATGGGGCATAATAGAATTATTTTCACATATTTTTCTCCCTGAAAAAAATTTTCTGAATTTTCTGAAAACTTGGACTTTTAGGGTTAAAGCGTATATGACTTTACAATGTGAAAATTTAAAAGGGGAAAATCTACGTTTGCATTTCCCCCCTTTTTGTGTCACGGTGTCTCCTCTTAAAACAATGGAAAACACGGACTGCATAGTATTTTAAAATTTTATCGCATCAGTCCACAAAAGTTTTGATAGCCCTTCGTACTTGTACTGATTCGCTCTTTTATACTTTCAAACAAAATATGTATAAGGAGATTATAAAAATAGCTAATAAAATATTGTACCTGAAATCAAAATGGCAGTCTAACTTCTTTGTATATTGACGACCAATCACCTTGTTTTGTTTCTAATTCTCACCTGCGCTAATATATCATTTAAATACCTGAAATGCATGACAATTGATTTCTATATTGACCTGCCGGTGCAGAGAATTCTCCAGATGAATAAAAAAGTCAAGGTTACTCAGGTTTGATTAGCAATTACTAAATGGTGTCATTTGAATCATATGTCTTTGAAATTCCTATTCATTTTATGTATATCAAAATAAATATCATATTGTACATTTTGGATTTTCTGTTTTTGTATAATATGCTATAATTCTTATCAAACTTGTCTTGACCAAAAAAGAAATATTATAATATCTGACATCTTTTTTGTCAACCATATTTTAAAACTTTTTAAATCCATGAACAAGTTTCTTTATTAAAAAACTCTCTGATTTTTAAACAAGAATTTTGAAGTTAAAATAAAATGCTTTTTTTTTTTTGACAGCATCTATGTACTCTTTGGAGGCCAGGTCCACTAACACACTGTTAAGTTTTAATGAGCTCTAAATGTGTTCCTTTCTTAGGTGACCTGTTAAGTTTCTATAAAGCATATTTTTAAAAAAGTCTACATGAGCAAAAAAAATCTTACTGTAGCTTGCAAATCACATTCAAAGTTATCGATCATATTTTATTCTGTAGTCCTAGTGATCTGGCTAGGCTACCTAAACAATTGCCTCATTTCTTAATTATATCGACTCGATACGTTAACTAGAAATTAAAACTAATAGAGTTTACCATAAGTATTTTCATATTTAGAGGTTTACTTACTTCAGATTTGGCATAACCAACTTTCATTACTCATAAGAAAGCTAAAATATCGTACCTGAAGATCAAAGATGGCAACCGAACTTCCAACCAGTCAATTTCTATTTTTGTTTTGCCTGCTGCTAGGTCATTCATTTTAATGATGTAATGCATGACGATTGATATCCATATTGATCTACCGGTGTAGATAATTCCTCACATGAATTTGAAATGTTACAAATATATGTACAATAAGTTACAATAAGTACGAAGGGGTTTTTGGAATTTATGTCCAATCCCTTTGACATATTAACAACTAGAGGTACTGTGAGCAATGAGCTTACTAAATTATACCCCCGCCTCCCATATGAATAAAATGGCAGTGTCCATGTTTTCTTTTGAAAACCCAAAAATTTTGTCAATAAAAAGAAAAATAGGAGGTGCACAAGGGCAATGTGTAATAAAGATTCTGTGAAATTTTCATTAAATTTCCCCAGTGGTATAAGAGGAGTTGCGGATAAGAGATGGGTAACCGAAAGCGTAAAACGGACGGACGGACGGACGACGACGTACAGAGGGAAAAACAGACGTACAGAGGGACGGAAAACATTACTATATACCCTCCCGTTTTTTAAGCGGGGGGGGGGGGGGGTATAAAAAATATGTCAAAAAAAAATTACTTTTGTACAGAAATGAAATATAATTATACTAAATATAGGGTTAATTTTCCCGGTTTTTTTTTTTGCCCTTTCAGGCTATTTTGCCCGTTTTAAATTGCCCAGTCATTATTCTTTTTGAGAAATTTGTACTGTTATCTTCGAATTCGCCCCGTTTTGAATTAGCTCGAATGATATTAGGGCAAAATTTGGGAAAATTTCCCCATATCATAATAATAATTGTCTGTTTGTTCAACTAATATTCATCTAACGTAATTGTCATAAAACCATTCAAACCACTCAATAATCTATCTGATTTGTTTTCTAACATTTAATGCAACTGATTTTTTCAGCTGCTGTTTTAAAAGTGAGGGATCATATTCATTTATCTCACGACAATTTGTCTTTCTTGCAATTCTATCCCTATACATGATTGATTTCTTATTGGACTTTAAATACTGCATTTTAAATAGGGTAGAAAGATTTGTCCATAAAAGCTGTAAATTTAATTTGGTTTAACTTTTACCAAAAACTTGGGAGTATGATTGGTGAGAATCCTCTTTCCATATCTAATGTGTATATTTGGGTGTTTATTCAGATGTAAAGGGTTTCAAAATAGAAATATTTGTGATATATAGTTACAGAACTGTGTTATTATATGTGGACTTTAGAATTTTATTCATAAGATGACAGTTTTATTTACGTTTATTATTTTCAGTATATGAACATTTTATATCAAGATATGTTTTGTACAATAACACAAAAAGAACTAAATATTTGAAAAAACATCTCAAAACATCTACACAATTGAGTTGAATCTTAAATTCACTTATTCAAAGGGAAGTAATCACAATTTATGTAGTATGTATTCATTGTTTCTCATTCATTGCCTTTTAATCAAAAGATTTTTGTTCTGGGGATGATTTTAAGTTTTTATTTTTTTTTATTTCTGGTGTTGAAAACTGACATGTGACAATATTTTTTCACACAGTGATTTTATCTTGTTAAGAGATGTTATTTCTTTATTTTGTCATATACATGTAAACAGAGTATTTTTATTATTGCCACATTCCATGTACAGACACCAAGTTAAATTTTTACTCATGAGATATATTTTATTTGCTATGCAGACCGTCCATTTATTTCAATCAGCTGTTCTGTTGAGTGTTTAATTATATCCTTTAAATTTATATATTTATCTTTGGAGATTTTATTTTCATAATTCTATCAAGAGTTCATTAAAGAAAAAAAATTGATAATTGTCATCTGTATTATTTGTTAATTACAAATGAAGATCCCTTCCACTGTTACAAGTCTGTGTTGTGTGCAGCACAGTTCTCGGGCATAGATGTAGAAGATTTGTGGTCAGAAAATATTTTATCAACATTTTCTCAATAATATTATAATTTGTAACTTATTTGTGACACTACAGAAACTTTCCTGTTTATTTTGCAGAGCGTAAATTGAAAATTCCAACCACCCCTTTCCAAATAGTCTTCTTGGACCAGTGTAGAATGTGAATACTATTATTTGTATAAAAAATACAAGCACATTTGTATTTTTCCCTTCACCATTACAGTTGCAAGGAATTTTTAATCTAATTTTTATCTTGAATTCATGTATTGAATAATACACAATTATGAATCTACAGATGTGAGAGTTCTCATATTCAGTTGAATTTATGAACTTGGGTCACTTGTCTCTGTCAGTATTTGCCAATTCGTGTTCTTATAATGGAGTTTAAGCTGACAATGCTGCTACTTCCCCTCTAAGGGTGCCTTTGCTCAATCTTATAATGGCCTGAAACATTGAGATTTTTTTTTAATGAATATTTTTTACCTGAATGTCAATAAAATTAATATGAATATTTTTGAGCAAGGAATATTCTTTTCTCTTATATATCTTAATATCCCTTAAAAGTATTTTCGATGGCTATTTTTTCATAATTTTTTAGAATTTTTGAAGTGTCTTGAACTCAAATATTGAACCATAACTTGTTTATATGACTGTATATTTGTACCTGTTTAAGATCCTCCCACTTTAAGTTGAAATCATCCATCTCATGTTCAAACTCTATTATCTGACTCAGATAATTTCTGTGAATTCTGATTCTCTCAACATCGTCCCCATTTTGTTTGTGGCCATTGTTTGGCTTGTTGCCCCATCCATTGCTTGGAGGGTTTATATTTTCTGCATAATTTCTCAACAAGTTGTACATTGTTGATATTCCGAATTCACAAGAATTGGCAGGCTTTCCTCCTTCTGCAAGAAAAGGGATTGTCAATCTCGTGTTTTGGTTAGAAAAGAAAACCAAAGACCCATGGACCACAACACTCACTTGAGTAACATATTGGTCCTGCTCTTCATCAGATCTCTACCTTTTCATACTTTTTGTGGCCTCACCATATATGTACCCCCAGGGGTTAGAATAAGAAGATCAATAGAATCTACACTAGCGCTAATTACAAACTTCAGCCTTTCTGGCACAGTGGTTATTTGGAGAAACAATTATAAACTTTTCCCCTATATATTTCAATATAAAAGTCAAATTCCCTATTGTGGCATCACTCTATCCTTTTCGGCAACTGTTGGAATATGCTATTTATATGCATCAGATGGCATCCACCTACGTTTAAACTTTTCTTGTCCAGTGGTTCTTGAGAATATTTTTTAATGCCTTCATCTTATTTTGTCTTTTCTCGATTATCTTCCTTTGGAAAGTGCCTTGGTCTAAGAACTTTCCACTTTTCCAAACCTCTGAGATGATATTAAGTCTCCTCCAAAAAAGAAAAAATGTTTGGATCCTCTGTGCTTAAAAAATTAATAAACATTGTGGCATCTTTTAAAAAAGTTCTTTTTTTTCTAAAACCACTACGTCAGAAAAGATTACACTTTTGTGAAAACGTTATTTAAGTGTGTAGATAAGAAAAACTACATGTATGGTGATAACGAACAGTATTCAATATGAAAGTCCATGTATGTTCAAATCATGACACCTGGGGGTAGGATTGGGCCACAATGATGGAACAAAGGCTAACAAATGAATATGAATGTATTTATAAAAAACAACTTCCAAAGAACCACTGGTCAAGAAGAGTTTGAACTTACGTGATAACTTTATTATGATATAGTGTAGATTCAAAGATTTTAAAAGTATGTTCAAATCATAACACCCATAATGGGAAAATATAAGATAATTCGTATCAAGAATAGCAAAAGCATTATATTCATTTAAGGAATCACTGTCTAGTTAGTATAGTATGCCAGGGCATCAACGATAGTGGGGAACGTGGAATAATTTGTATAAGGGGCGAATCCCGTTATGCATAAATTATCCCACGTTTCCCACTATCTTTGATGTCCTTGGAATACTATACTAACTAGACAGTGATTCCATATATTTCCATTTCATTGCGAAATAAAATTGTAGATTTAGACTTAAAAAATGTAGAGATAGGTTTGAATTACTCGAGGACTCCCATTCCGATTTTAATAGTCCTCGCCCACTGACGTCAGACACAAAGGAAGCCGCACGAGATTTACGTGCATATATGGCCTCCTTAGCGTAAAGCACAGAGACAGATGCGCACGAGATTTGCATGCGTATTAGGCCTTCTTAACTCCTGACCTATTTTACATTCCGGTAGAAATCAACTCCGCTAACTTTCAAAGGGTTATCACAGAGAAAAAAAAATTAGAAATGGAAATATCAATATGTAATATTAATAAATCGTCGGGTAGTACAGATAAAGGTTTATTGATGCAGCACTATAGGTAAACTAATATGCTTGTTTGAACATCCATATATTAAAAAAAACATGATGTAGAGGGAAAAAATGCCATATAAAGACTAAGGTGAGAGTTGAAGTCCAAACAACCTCTTTTTTCAATCCCTAACCTGGATAAAGAACAGGTATCTGGTCTTTTTCTACTCTTTTTTCTCCATGCGCAATGAGGTATTTTTTGTCAGCCAGCATGTTTTGCAGTTCATGTCCAGGGAAGACGTCATCGAAAAATATTTGAAGGGCATGTCGGGAAAGTCTTACGAGCTTTAGGAATCGCATCAAACGCTTTTCATTATCTGAAAAAAGAATAATACAAAATGGTAAACTTTTTTTTATTGAGACGATGCATTTTGATGTAAAGGACTGCGAACGATATTGTCGTTCTGCCGTTCACTACCAAGTCATTTTTTCAAAAATTAACACAATCTGAATGATTTTTCATGATGTTATAGAGGTAACCCTTTTGAAAAATGCAAAGAGGAAAAACTCTATAATTTTGGCAAAATTAGTGTTTTTTAAAGGATAAAATCAGTGAAAACTGACAATATCTTGTAACATACAGATTTTGACTGGATATAATGCTTACATATGATTTGTGGGACCTGAACGTGAAAACGTTGCCCGAAGCTGCAAGCCAAGGACAACTTTTTTACCTTCAAGTCTAACAAATCATATGTGGCGCCCATATCCAGTGTATTGTCTTCGCCCTCGAAGACACAACCCAAGTTCTTACTATTTGCCCCATATTGGCATTTCACCTTCAAGTCCAGGGGTGGTCGTCGTGCCCGAAGCTGTAACAGGAGGGGAGACAATGTTTGACCTTTCTTCAGAAGCAGACGACAAATGTTCACTCTGGACTTGATGTGTCTGTTGTGATGCTGAAGAGCTGGAATAAAGCGGTGGCTCTTCCCCGAACACTTTGACCAGGACCTTTATCAAACCAAGAAGGTCCGAATGTGGCTGTAAGATAGATATGATATATATAATTTTTAACAAATCCATATGATTTTTTCATATTAAGAAGTAGATATATCAGTAATGTTGTATTAACGTAGTAAAAATGGAACAAAATCATTGTAAGATCTAAGGTAATTCATTAACATTAATTTCTTTTTTGTTGAATTTCTTGGTGTCTTATTATGCATTTCATGAAGGTGTTTCTTTCCGTATCACATGAGACGTATAACGTCCTTGGATACTGATGACTGTTGAGTGATTGTATATTGTTTAACGTCCCTGTAGATCACTTGATTAACGCGACGCCTTTTTACGAGATAACTTTTTGGTAGATTAATGTTATTATAGAGATTGATTCCGATATATTTGAGGGATCTCAAAATCCCAGATTCCCTGGATACAACTACAAGCGACACACACAGCTCTATGTTGGACTTTGATGTCACAGATTTAAGACCAAAAAGACCTGAGAGATATGTTTCAGTCGTCAGCAAAGCCAAAAAAGGAGATATAAAGAAGAATAGAATTTGAAAAAAAATCAAAATGCTATAAAAGACGTGAGGAACATTGCACAAGAAGAGGGAATTAATATTTAAAGAGCTTGTGTTGCATTTTAATTTTTGGATGCTTCAACCGGGAGTGATTGGATTTACCATTATGAAGGGACACAAAAAAGAAGGAAAGTACACATATTTTAGATGAATTTATTAAACAGAGTATGTTTTCCATAATTGCAAAATTTTGTTTGGATTGAAATAACACAAAGATTTAGCTAGTACCGAATAAGTTCTAATTAAATCAAGGTGATGAAGACAAATTAACATTAATATTCATAATTAAATAAATCCAAAATTCCAAATAAAAAATACTTTGTGTGGAGACCGATTCTTCTACTTAGACCGTATTAATCGAAGTTCTGTGTCGCGGTAGATGCCGGTGAGATCCCTTGATCACTGCTCAATGGCTCCCCTGTGCCGAGTAGAGGTCACAATTTGCAGTTCTCCACCGCCAGGTGGGTGACCCCCCCCTCCCAAGAGTGACGTTAAACAACAAACAATCAATCTTTTCAGTAAACCTTAAAGAAAACATCGTTATCGTGTCACAATACATGTTGGTTTATACCGGTATGTAGCATTTCAGTAAGTATTATTTAGCGAAGGTTGCGGCATCTGTATCGTAGATATAAATTTGGGAATCGACAAGTGACTAGCAAGAGTCCCCCCTTAAATTTGAAAAAAAAAACCGATAGAGAACCTGCATGTAGATTTCTCTAAACTGTTTGGGACCCAATCAATAGAAATTAACTCCTGCCAGATTTAGTTGTTCTGCATCTGCAGTCGAATAACCTAAAGAATCAGTCAACAATAATGGCATAGACGTCGTGCATTGACTCGAAATCAAAATTAATAGATACGGTGAACGATTTTATATCTTAATCTTGTAGATGGAGATTGATCCTTATGTATTTCAAGAGTCTTTTCAAAATCCCAGTTTAATTAGATGTATTACAAATGCAGGCGATACAATCAGTTCATCCATGGATTTTGAAGTCATTGAATTTTCTCCTATTTACACGTAAATGCGACATTAAAAGCAAATTGGAAGATATGTACAGCCGTTGTCAGTGATGAGGATATACATGTAACATGAAATAAAAAAAATAAACCGCTAAAAATGGACTTATGTAAGATAGGTATTGGCATCATATTCTTTCACAGAGCTGTCTGCATGCATCGCCTGTCTCTATACTCAGGTAAACTGAGATATTGAAACCCCTAAAATATATGATAATTTTTAATTACGTCATCAATCTACGTAAAGGTTAAATCGCTTACCTTATCTACAAAAAAATTAAGTAATTTATTTCTACCCAGTGGTCAAAACTAATCTGACTAAGCCTTACCTTGAGGATACTGCGCAGCTAAAAGTGGGAGGTGCTTATTGTGATTGATCATGTCACAAATAATTTGGAAAACTCGATTGGCCCTTTATCGTAGATACAAATTTAGGGGCAGAGACTCGTGCCTCTTATGTTATTACTTACGTATCTCCAGACCCTAAGATAGGGTATGTCAACATTCCCGTCTGAGTGCACATTTCTGTTGGCTTTTATGTACATGTTTCTGGTTGGTTTTACGTAAACCATCGGCGAGTTATAGGGATGTGTGTCCAGTAACCACACGATTATTGGAATGTTGTACTCATCTCCTAAAAAGTCGAGGAAAATGCTAAACCTCACAGAACATGCAACAAATAGATGTCAACGATTAAAATTAAACGATGTATTTATGAATATTTTAAAATTGAATGAAGTAGAAGAAGGAAAATGCTACACATTAACAGAAAAAAAGATAATTATTCTTTTTAAAGAAAAAAAATTGAAATGTCTTTACCCTCGTATTTTACTGGAATAGTGCCGTTTAAATTCAATAGATTCTTTGTTGTACCGTCTTCAAAATCTGCATGAAGAAAAACTATGTCAAATTTCATTTACAGTACTCATGAAAATAAAACAATTATCGTATAATAAGAAAAAATAAAAATATGAAAATAATAACTTTACATTTAAAAAATTTTAATCTCTGTATCTTTTTTGTCTCACTTTTTCTGTCTGTTTTTTTCTTTTTCTTCCATTCTCTGCCTGTATCTCTCTTTGTCTTAATGTCTCTCTCCGTCTATCTCTGTCTCTTTCCCTGTCTGCTTGTCTGTCTGTTTTACTCCCCTACTGTCTGTTTGTTTCTCTCCCTTCCTGTCTGTCTGTCTGTCTGTCTGTCTGTTTTTCTCTCACCCTGTCTGTCTGTCTGTTTCTCTCTCGCCCCGTCTGTCTGTTTCTCTCTCTGTCTGTCTTTCTCCCCGTCTTCTTGTCCGTCTTTATCGTTCTTTCCTTCTCTCTATCTCTATCTATCCTGTTCTCTCCGCTATACTTACAATATTTCTCTAGTTCAGGCCTCAGGTCTTTATATTGACTAAGAGCGTTCATGATATCTCTTTTGGTAATGTCTGCATTCTTGTACTAAAGAATAAGTATAGAATGCAATGACAAAACAATTTCAATGTATAAATCTACGAGTTATACCTTTAACTTTATCATTTTGAACTCTATATCTTATCCAGAACTTGAACTGTTTTCCTCAAAAGAGGAAAAATAAAATTATATTATATTTAGTATATTCAAAATACTACAATGACATACAGGGAAACTCAGCCAAGATATTGTTGTGCCATTCGGCACCTTACCGATATATAATTTTTGAATAATATTTCATTTATAAAAATATCCCCAAGATCATATATTTCAATTTATAATGGTTGGTAAAAGCTAGGGGTGATTGTTTTAACTTACTTTCTCATTACCGAATCACTATGATTTCTTAATTCATTTTTATGGTCCCTGAGACTTTTCTCCATATATTTTTTCACAATTGCTTGTCCATTTAAAAAATGTTTCACTGAGTTTCTAATGACATCTTTATATATTTATGTAATCAAAACACAATATTGTTAAAATATTGTACTTTCCTGACAATTTAATTTCGTTTCTCACGCTTCATTTGATTGCATAAAAAATGATTTATATCGTACAACACGTTAGCCAAGGTCAAAATAACATGCGTCCAAAAAGTACCGGGGTATTAATCTAAAAGTCATTACATTTAAAAAAAATATACAGTTCGAATAATTTTTTTAAAGAGAAGATGTCTTATTTTTTACGCAAAGCAATTGATAAAGCGTTAAATGTCTTAACCCAGGTTTTAGATTATTGCATGTATAAGTATGAAATTACACGGGAATCGAATTCTGATATAATGAGTTTATCTAAATGATGTTAAGATTTCAGATCAATAAAAATATCACTTATACTTTAGGTGCACCCGGATTACTGCCGAATGTCAATCAAATGCCCCCTCGTTCTTTATATTCAACACTTAACTACCAATAGAAGTGTTTTATATTTTACCTGACTTAACACTTGTGTAGTTTCATTGGTTTCAGAGCTTCCAGCCATCCCCTTCCTGTTATTCTGAATAAGTTTTATATCTTAATTAGACACTGTATACGTTGAACATTGATTGGGATTCTACAACTTACAACCAGGAAGGTCGTTTTTAAATATTTGTATGACAATAGAAGTTTAACAGAGTATTATTGTTCTCATCTAACTTGTACCTTTAAACATGTTGTTTTTTTAATTACGCGTATTTTTATCTTTCCGTCAGTCTTTTAACTATATATACGGTCTATGAGCCATATTCACAGAAGGCTTTAAAAATCTTTTAAAAACTTTAAAACAGTACATACGTGTTCTATTCCGATAACCTCGAAGCTCTGACTTCCCAAATGCCTTAGGAATGAACTTTAAGAATTTTTTTTTACAGTTACTTTTTTCTGTAAAACAATTAGTCTGCAAAACTTTTGCTTGAATGAAATCCGTTGCTTTTCGAAGAATTAAGTATTTGTATTTCTGCATTTTAAAAGTGACATATATATATATTCATTTTTCATTTCATTTTCATATTCATTTTTGATGCCTTTTT